TCCTGCCAACCTAGCAGTTCGAAAGCAAGACATTGCATGTAGATAAATAGGGACCACTTCGGTGGGAAGGTCGCAGCGTTCCGTGCGCCTTGGTGTTTAGTCATCCCGGCCACATGACCACGGAAACGTCTTCGGACAGCGCTGGCTCTTCGGCTTGGAAATGGAGAGGAGCACCACAACCCTAGAGTCGGATTCGACTGGCTTTCGAGCAAGGGAACCTTTACCTTTACCTTCCCTATCACAAATGGCCAGCTTATCTGGCATCATGCGTGTGGGTGTATGAAGGCATTCTGTCTACAGGCGAGACCTGTGGAGACATCTGTCCCCATGGAAGGCCGTGTAAAAATGGAGTCAGAGGACAAAGGGAAAAAGACGGGAAGGGTCAAGAGAGTTCCCATCCTTTATCACAGCCAACTCCTGTCGTGAACAGTCCTGCTCCAGGCGGGAGGCCCATTCTCCCATGCCCTCCACTCCCTGCTACCACCCGTGTTTAAGGGCCGCTTGGGTAAGTGGGCCTTCCTTTTAGGCAGAGTCTCCAGCCGCTGCCTCGTTCTTGCAGAAGGAAGCCTTCTGCGCTGGGCTCTGAAGGTCTCAGGCAGGCCTGTAGCCAGGATTTTGTGGCTTGTGGGGCAGATTTTTTTGGTGGGGCCCGAATTTTACAATTAAAAACAACAACTAGCTTCCTGCACCCCACCACTCCTTGGCTGTGATTTCTCTCCCTGGTGGGCAAGTTGGTGGTGATTCTTTTTTTAAAAAAAGTGATTCTTGACTCTGTTCGGCGTGGTTGGCTGCAGTGTTGCCAGGGAGCATGCACCTTTTAAAAAACAGGGGGAAATGATTTAAAAACATTTTTGGAAGGAAATCTTGTAGTGGTTAAGTGTGCGGACTCTGATCTGGGAGAACCGGGTTTGATTCCCCACTCCTCCCCTTGCACCCGCTGATGTGACCTTGGGTCAGTCACAAGCTCTGGCACAGCTGTCCTTGAAAAAGAGCAGTTTGTGTCAGAGTTCTCCCAGCCCCACCCACCTCACAGGGTGTCTGTTGTGGGGAGGGGAAGGGAAAGGAGTTTGTAAGCCGCTCTGAGACTCCAAGTGAAGGGTGGGGTATAAATCCAATCTCTTCTTCTTCCTCTTCTTAAGGAAGGTGGCAGAACCCCGAATAGCCCCTCTGTCGCTATGGTCCAGGTCTCAGGAGGGGGTACTGACTCTATATCTGGGCAGGGATCCTGCCTCCCAGGTCTTTGTGGGTTTATAGTTCCTTCAGGATGCAAGAATCCCCAGCCTACCCTGAATGGCTGGTTTCCTACTCAGCTAGGGTTACCAGATCCCAACAAGGTTTTCCCCACTTTTGGGGGCTTCAAACCACCACTGGCCAGCTGGCTGGTGGGGGAAATCCCACCCCCCAACAGGGACATCATCGCACCATGTCTAATTCAGATCATGTATCTACAAAGCTTAAAAGCGTTTTGCTCCCAAACCAGTGTTGTGCATGAGGTCGCCAATGTCAGACCCAGCTGATGTCATTGCATCGGAGATCATGTGTGACATCCCACCCACCCTCGGAATTCCCCCCAAATCCCTCCACCACGACGGTGAGAAGGCCTGGCGACCTCTGCTTCCAGCCTGTGTCAGACACCCAATTCACCCTTCTCAGCCCTTTTATCCCCCATCTCCTGGCAACTCCCAATTCCTGCCTCCCTTTATTGACTCCTGAGAAGACCCTTTCTCCCAAGGGGACCTCTACAGCAGATACCGTTGCCAGCTGATAGTAGCATTCAGACTGGACAATTCAGGGTAGGTGCGAGCAAATTGGAGTCACTTTGACATTCAACATTGGTCCTGGTGTGAAACAAACGGATAGTAAATAAACTGATGACATTGTGTCAGGGTGATGTCCCACCAATATACTCCAAGCCTGTCAAACAGCACCGGGAATAAGGATTCAAGGCCAGAAGATCCCCTGTTATATTCTCTCTAACTCCTTTAGTTGTTACAGCCCAATGAAAGAGCTTTCTTCTTACAAAGGGATATTGTAGCCCTAAAAGATACAGAAGATAGATGGCACTGGCCATTTGTCTTCCAGGGGCAGGACAGACATTTGGGATCCTAAGAATGTAAGAGCCCTGCTGGATTAGACCAGTGGCCCATCTAGGCCAGCAAACCATTGCACACAGTGGCCAGACATTTACTCAGGAGGGCCAACAACAAAGCAAACTGAGGTTGCCTCCTGGCACTGATATCCAGAGGCTGACTGCCTCTGAATGTGGAGATTCCCTTTAGTGAACATAGCTAGTAGAACTATTGATAAGACCATCCCCCATGAAATTTAATCTCCATTATGACACCATTGCAGAGGATTCTAACTTCCCCCTGGAAAATTAGAGCATTCCTCTTTTCCTAAGAATCCCACTGCCTCAGTGAATGATCCAGAAAAAGATTTTAGGGAATACAGAGCAAAATATGTAGGTTTTGCTCCACAGGGGGTGCTTCACTTTTGGCTATGCTCCTGCAGAGTGCAGGCGGTTGGACTAGATGACCTGCAAGGTCCCTTCCAACTCTAACATTCTATGATTCAAATATTAAGTTGATGTGAGGCAAAGGGAAGGGGGGGGGGTTGGACAGAAAGGAGGGAAATGGCCACCGAGAAGCATCTTGTTCAGTGCAGCTACCATCATATAGGTCAGAGCTACTGTGAAGGCTGGCCCTGCCTAGGTGCAGAAATGTCATGTCTATAACTCCCAAGAAACACACATGATAAAGCAGAAGGAGGTTTTATTGAAGACATTCAAGAAAAGGAACAAAAGGAACAAAACAAAGCATACCGTTTAGTGGCAAACAAATTATCGCTTACTGGAGGCCTAACAGAGTACACTTGGTGCTTGAAACAAAGAGTCCTACAGCATAATACAAGTACTTAAATGACAGCAAGGAGGAATGGGGAGAAAGGGTAATGGAAAAGGAAAAAACTGCAGGTCCTAATCTGATCTCCTCAACAAAGCACTGGGCAGTATTCATGGAACCTTCTAGGGTGAGAATGAGTTTCGCCTACCAAAGCAGATTGGCGGCTGAACTATGTGAGTATCTGCTAAGGTTTGTGCATGGGGGACGACAACGACTAGACATGCAGAAAGTCAGAGAACAGACAGTGTGTCTGTAACCTGCATAACTGAGAGCCAGTGCAGTGTAGTGGTTAGGAGTGTCAGACAGGCCCACAGCCAGTATTTTGTGGCTTGTGGGGCAGATTTTTTTGGTGGGGCCCGAATTTTACAATTAAAAACAACAACTAGCTTCCTGCACCCCACCACTCCTTGGCTGTGATTTCTCTCCCTGGTGGGCAAGTTGGTGGTGATTCTTTTTTTAAAAAAAGTGATTCTTGACTCTGTTCGGCGTGGTTGGCTGCAGTGTTGCCAGGGAGCATGCACCTTTTAAAAAACAGGGGGAAATGATTTAAAAACATTTTTGGAAGGAAATCTTGTAGTGGTTAAGTGTGCGGACTCTGATCTGGGAGAACCGGGTTTGATTCCCCACTCCTCCCCTTGCACCCGCTGATGTGATACCAGATCCCAACAAGGTTTTCCCCACTTTTGGGGGCTTCAAACCACCACTGGCCAGCTGGCTGGTGGGGGAAATCCCACCCCCCAACAGGGACATCATCGCACCATGTCTAATTCAGATCATGTATCTACAAAGCTTAAAAGCGTTTTGCTCCCAAACCAGTGTTGTGCATGAGGTCGCCAATGTCAGACCCAGCTGATGTCATTGCATCGGAGATCATGTGTGACATCCCACCCACCCTCGGAATTCCCCCCAAATCCCTCCACCACGACGGTGAGAAGGCCTGGCGACCTCTGCTTCCAGCCTGTGTCAGACACCCAATTCACCCTTCTCAGCCCTTTTATCCCCCATCTCCTGGCAACTCCCAATTCCTGCCTCCCTTTATTGACTCCTGAGAAGACCCTTTCTCCCAAGGGGACCTCTACAGCAGATACCGTTGCCAGCTGATAGTAGCATTCAGACTGGACAATTCAGGGTAGGTGCGAGCAAATTGGAGTCACTTTGACATTCAACATTGGTCCTGGTGTGAAACAAACGGATAGTAAATAAACTGATGACATTGTGTCAGGGTGATGTCCCACCAATATACTCCAAGCCTGTCAAACAGCACCGGGAATAAGGATTCAAGGCCAGAAGATCCCCTGTTATATTCTCTCTAACTCCTTTAGTTGTTACAGCCCAATGAAAGAGCTTTCTTCTTACAAAGGGATATTGTAGCCCTAAAAGATACAGAAGATAGATGGCACTGGCCATTTGTCTTCCAGGGGCAGGACAGACATTTGGGATCCTAAGAATGTAAGAGCCCTGCTGGATTAGACCAGTGGCCCATCTAGGCCAGCAAACCATTGCACACAGTGGCCAGACATTTACTCAGGAGGGCCAACAACAAAGCAAACTGAGGTTGCCTCCTGGCACTGATATCCAGAGGCTGACTGCCTCTGAATGTGGAGATTCCCTTTAGTGAACATAGCTAGTAGAACTATTGATAAGACCATCCCCCATGAAATTTAATCTCCATTATGACACCATTGCAGAGGATTCTAACTTCCCCCTGGAAAATTAGAGCATTCCTCTTTTCCTAAGAATCCCACTGCCTCAGTGAATGATCCAGAAAAAGATTTTAGGGAATACAGAGCAAAATATGTAGGTTTTGCTCCACAGGGGGTGCTTCACTTTTGGCTATGCTCCTGCAGAGTGCAGGCGGTTGGACTAGATGACCTGCAAGGTCCCTTCCAACTCTAACATTCTATGATTCAAATATTAAGTTGATGTGAGGCAAAGGGAAGGGGGGGGGTTGGACAGAAAGGAGGGAAATGGCCACCGAGAAGCATCTTGTTCAGTGCAGCTACCATCATATAGGTCAGAGCTACTGTGAAGGCTGGCCCTGCCTAGGTGCAGAAATGTCATGTCTATAACTCCCAAGAAACACACATGATAAAGCAGAAGGAGGTTTTATTGAAGACATTCAAGAAAAGGAACAAAAGGAACAAAACAAAGCATACCGTTTAGTGGCAAACAAATTATCGCTTACTGGAGGCCTAACAGAGTACACTTGGTGCTTGAAACAAAGAGTCCTACAGCATAATACAAGTACTTAAATGACAGCAAGGAGGAATGGGGAGAAAGGGTAATGGAAAAGGAAAAAACTGCAGGTCCTAATCTGATCTCCTCAACAAAGCACTGGGCAGTATTCATGGAACCTTCTAGGGTGAGAATGAGTTTCGCCTACCAAAGCAGATTGGCGGCTGAACTATGTGAGTATCTGCTAAGGTTTGTGCATGGGGGACGACAACGACTAGACATGCAGAAAGTCAGAGAACAGTGAGGCTGGGTATGGCTTCTCCCGCGAGTGAATCTTTTGATGTCTACTTAGTTGGGAACTCCAAGCGAAGCACTTTCCACACTCCGGGCATTTATATGGCTTCTCCCTTGTGTGAACCCTTTTATGCTTAGTTAGATCACCATTTGAAGAGAAGCACTTTCCACACTCCAAACATTCATAGGGCTTCTCCCCTGTGTGAATCTTTTGATGTTTAGTTAGGTCACCATTCCGAGAGAAGCACTTTCCACACTCCAGGCATTGATAGGGCTTCTCCCCTGTGTGAACCTTCTGATGTGTTCTTAGATTGCCAGTCCGAGAGAAGCACTTTCCACACTCCAAGCATTTATATGACTTCACCGTTGTGTGAACCTTTTTGTGAGTTGTTAGATGTCTATTATGAGAGAAGCACTTTCCACACTCCGAGCATACAAATGGCTTCTGCCCTGTGTGAACTTTCTGATGTCTGGTTAGGGTGCTATTCCGCGAGAAGCACTTTCCACACTCCAAGCATTCAAATGGCTTCTCCCCTGTGTGAACCTTTTGGTGATTGATTAGATGGCTCTTATGAGAGAAGCACTTTCCACATTCCAAGCATTCAAATGGCTTCTCCCCTGTGTGAACCTTGTGGTGACTGGTCAGTTGGCCCTTATGAGAGAAGCACTTTCCACACACTGCGCATTCAAATTCCTTCTCCCCTGTGTGAACCTTTTGATGTCTGGTTAGTGCGCTATTCCAAGAGAAGCACTTTCCACACTCCAAGCATTTAAACGGCTTCTCCCCTGTGTGAACCTTTTGATGTGCAGTTAGTTCACCATTCTGCACGAAGCACTTTCCACACTCCACGCATTTATATCGCTTCTTCCGTGTGTGAACCCTTTGATGTATGGAAAGGTTGCCCTTTCGAGAGAAGCACTTTCCACACTGCAAGCATGTATATGGCTTCTCTCCTGTGTGAACTCTTTTATGTTTAGTGAGTTCACCATTCAAAGAGAAGCACTTATCACACTCCAAGCATTTATATGGTTTCTCCCCTGTGTGTATCCTCTGATGTGTAGTTAGGCTGCTTTTCTGAGAGAAATACTTTCCACAATCCAAGCATTTATATGGCTTCTCCCCGGTGTGAATCTTTTGATGTCTCAGTAGGCTGCTATTCACAGAGAAGCACTCTCCACACTCGAAGCATATGTATGGCCTCTCCCCTGTGTGAATCCTTCGGTGCAGAGTTAGTGCACTACTCCAGTGGAAGCGTTTCCCACATTCCAAGCATTTATACCTCTTCCAGAATGTCGTAAAATTCTCAAATGTTTTGACACTCAATTTGCAGCTTAAGTCTTTCTGATTCATGGCACCATTATGCCACCTGCTTCTCTTCCCTGTCTCCTCCTGGGCTGGGACCTCAGGCACATTTCTTCTCTGACAGGCAAAGAAGTCTTTCCTGCGCTTCTCTTTTGCTTCCCATTTCCTCCTGCACTGCCTCTTTAGGATCACTCGATCTTTTCCGATCTTGCTGCCACCTGCAGATCATTGTCTCCTTCTACCATTGTCCCTCCTGATTCGTGCTCACTCGCCATCTCCCTCACCTCTCCAGCTGCAAAACAGAAAACCCAAACCAAATAAGAATGAAACGCTACAAATATTAGTTAAGAAGAGCGGCCCGGCCCGAACCCCCCCCCCCGCGGGATCCGATCCAT